ATTATAAATTTTACAAACTTACAAAGTTATACAATTATAATGTCAAAAGTAAATACATATTTACAAATTACAAATTTATAATTTAATTTGAAGTTGAAGGATCGTCTCCAAAATTAAATATTAATCTATTAAATTCATTGATCCATTCTTGACTTGCAGGCGAAATTGTATCATGTAGACATTGATCTGCACGATCCTAATCCTTAATGCAGACCAAGGCTTCAATAATCTCCCTTTGCAATGTATTCCGGTGTTCTTCAAGTATTTGTCCTGTCATACTGAAGGCTTGTTCGGATCAAATAGTGGAGACTGAGATCGAAAATATATTTATTGCCAATCGAGTTAAGATTGGCCAAGTTAATGCACGTGCCATCCACCATTGAACTAAGTCAAACGATTCTCTAGTATCGTTGACTACTAAGCTTTCACTGAGGTACGCCATAAGCTCATTGAAGCTGCTGTCGCCGCTGCCACCTGTTGATGAAGATCCACTCCCAGCATCTGTTTGAGTTGTCTTCTTCTTCTTCAACTTGAAAACATTCAAGAATGAATGCGGGGTTTTATCTTGTTGTTGCGGTTCCTGTTCTCTAGAGTTTGTGCTTCTAAACCTATTATCATATTTACTACAGATCGAATATATTTTTGTCTTTATTATTGGAAATTGGTCCGAACAATTGATGCCTAAAAATTCACATAAGTTTTCTAAATCGTCTAATTTTAATCTATGATAAAAAATAGTACCTAAACCATACAATAAAGGCAACTTAGACTAATAATTTTTAAATTTATTTTTCATAGAATTGATAGGAACTCTTAATATTGGGTCATCCCTATATTCGTTAAATAAAATACTAATTCTTAAAAGTTCACCTAAAGCTAAAGGTGATGTTGGGTAATATATTCCATTAAGTTTTAGAGTAACTTCATGAAATTTGCCTAAAAATTGATACAAAACTTCAGCAATTTACTAATCATATGCATCTATATATCATACTCCTAATTTTGCACACATATAGTTTGTTATAGCATCTTTACAGGGAATGCATTATTGAAGCATTATATAAGTTGAGTTCCATCTTATAGGCATATCTAACGCTAATGCCCTAGGAGGTATATTTAATACTTGTAAGAAACTAAACCAATCTTTTTGTCTTTGGTTACTACCTTGAATCCATGCAAGACTATCTCTAATTCTTTTAATATTAGTACCTATTTCTTCTAAATCGGATTTAACTATTAAATTAATTACGTGACATGCACAACGTTGGTGGAAAATAGTACCGCACCGAATAAACTTAAATCATTTTCAAAGAACTCAATTGCTTTTGTATTGACACTAGCATTATCTAATGTTATAGCCATTACTTTATCTCTTAATCTAAATTCATCAATTACATTTAAAATTGTATTATATATTAAATCCGCGTCATGTGATCATAGAACACATTTTAAACATAATATCCTCTTATCTAAATCAAATCCTTTAAAGTAATGTCCGTTTACAGCTAAATAATCTTCATTGGCAACGGCGGACTAAATATCTGCCGTTAACGCAACGCACCTGCTAGTCTAGTGTAAAAGGTTTATTAATGTTTCTTTCTCTTTTTAAAATAATTTTAATAAATCTTTTATAAGAATAGTTTTTGAAGTAAACTGTGCATTATGATTATCTACAACCTCAATATACCATTGCCAATTAGGATGCTCTACAAAACTAAGTGGTTGATCTAATCCAGCTATCATTCGCGCAACTTCCATACGATGTACTTGCGGATCGTATTTCCAAGTGGTTAGACCACCGGTTGTGCAATCAAAAGATAATTGTGTTTGGCAGAGTTCAGGTCCGCCGGACTGACTAAGCTTTTGAATACACTTTTCAGAGTGTTTTCTCAAGTGTGTGGTGCCGTGAATAGTGTCACATTGTAATTTAGATAAATAATATTTACACTGAGCTATATGTTTAGTGTTACCTTTATTGTCGATCTTCTCAATTGTGTCGAAGTGATTCCAAACTATCGAGGTGCGCTTGCATTTCCTTCTGGAGGTTGCAACACTTGCAGATGCAGTCGCACTTGCACTCGCTGCTTCTCCACGCCCACCACCATTGCGACCACGACCTCTGATACGCCCACCAGAGCTCAGATTATTAGATTCATGCGTAACAAATTCATTAGTGAGAAATTGCCCTTCTTCCACGTTGTGTTGGGCATCAACGGGAATACCACTATAACCAAAAGAATCCATTATAAAAAAATAAGAGCGATTTGAGAGAGATAGAGTTTTAAGATAATGTGATAGTTTTTATAAAATTTGTGAGAGAGATCTGAAAAATTGAGAGAAATTGAGAGAGATTGAGTGAGATTGAAAGGGATTGAGAGAGTTTGAGTGAGAAAAATGTGTAGGGATGAGGGGATTTATAAGAAAATTTTTAGGTTGAAAAATTGATTTTTCCCTAAAATTTGAATCCAACGACTACTTTTATTTTCGGCTGGTCAGGTTTGGGCAACGGTCAAAAAACTAGTTGTTGGGGTTGGGCTTTTCGGGCTTCGGGTCGGGCTTCAACGGTCGAAATTTTGCCCGTTGGTCGGGTTTTCAGGCTTCGGGCAAGTCAGGTAATTCGGGCCTGGCCAGAAAAATTCAAAAAAATTCCGGCGGACGGCAATTGACGACAACAACACGGCGACGGGCTCAGACGTGGTGTCCATTTTCGGGCTGCCCGAGCCTGAATCTGAAAATTTATTATTGGACGGGCCGGCCTGCCGGCCCAAAGTTCTAACACTAGTCTACGGTAGGGTGAGTCAATTAACCCTATCGGTAGGATCAAATCTAAAGACTGATATTAGATCTAAATAATAGTTTATATGGTCTCACTCACACCGGATTGTTAAAACAAAAGTGAAGAACAACTTATACGTTTAGAACTCGTTTTAAAATAATTTTATTTTGTTTATGAAAATAGAAATAAAAATGTTTTCAATCTCATACAGAAATTATTTTTAAAAATGTGTTTAATAATTTTATTAAGAGATTATTTTCAGTATAAAAAATACATTAATGTCTATATCTCTTTGTGCTCGATTGAGTAAAAAATAAAAAACGACTAAAAATCATTTTTTATATCTTTCCCATTTTATACTAAATTAAAAAATTATTTTCATTTTTATTTTTTTATCTTTAATTATATCAAACATATTTTTTTCTATTTTTATTTTTTTTTAAAATGTGAAAAATAACAACAAAACTAACTCCAAACATGTCGAACAATACGCCCAAAAAGTAGAAGCAACCTTCAAATTCTATGAATATTCTATGCAATCCAAAATTCTTAAGAATCTCATACAACCCATGAAGCAACCTTCAAATTGTGAAATTTTCTTACAACCTGAAAATTCCTAAGAATCCCAGACAGCCAGAAACCACTCTTCAAATTATCAAAATTCCTAAGTTGGTTGATTTGGAAACAAGCAAATGTAAAATTCTTAAATTGTGTGATCTATAATCAAGAGAGAAAAAGTGTTTGGGATCATAGTTTTTGTTTCCTCTAGTTTCTGGATAGTCAAGTGTGCTTTCAAAATTCATTCTTCCCAGACGACACAACCCAACGCCAAATCAAACCCAGATTCCGGCAGATCTTGACCCTCCCTCTTCTACATCCTCTCTCAGTCCAACTTCCTCGACACCCTCTCTCTTCTTCGCCGCCAAAACTCCTGACAGTCGCATCTTCGCCCACGGCAAGGCAATCTGAAACCCAGATGAGGAGATCGACGGCGCCGCCAAGTTCACGGCCTCCGGACTAGGACATCTCCCTTCTCTCTCTCTCCTCTGTCTTTCTCTCTCCGTTGATATCCTCCTTCTCTCTCTCATTGGGACGAACGCCAGTCGTCACGAACACCGTGGAGATGGCGAACTCCGTCGATGAAGCTCTCGTCTCTCACCTCCGGTGGTCAGCTTTGGTCTCACGTGATCTACTCCAGCCTCCTCAAATCCAACCTCCCCTCTTCAAGGCGGCGCGTATTGGCACCTTTCCCATCGACAAGAGCTCTTAATCGTCCTCAATGAAGAACACAACCTCTGTTCTTTATTTTTATGTTTTATTTATTTATCTATTTATTTATTTGGTAAAATACAACCTCTATTTGAACACGGATGAGTTTTTTGGTTGAACAAACATTAATGGATTAAAGGTGGAGATCAGATATGGCTTAGAGATGATAGTAGAACAGATATGACGTTTTCAGATGTGTCGTTTGAATGAAGAGTTTTTTTTTTTTTTTTTTTTAAATTTTTTTTTGATTAAATGCATTCATCTTTATTTTAGTTTCCATAGGACTAATCAATTTGGGCCATTGACTTTTTTAATCAAAAGGCCTTTATAATTGGACTCCGGTATAGTGATTTGGCTCACCTTACCGTAAACACCCCCTTAATTTTTGTTTTTTTAATGATAGTAATTACTTTTAATTTTTCAATTTATTCATTTTTACTGAAAAATTCTTTATTCGTGTGTTTATGTATTATTTTATTTTTCTATAAAAAAAGAGGTAAATTTTTTAAAAAAGTTTAAAACAGCTTAAATATTAAAAAATTGAGTATAACATTACTAATATTAATCAATAGACATCTTAAAAATGAAAATTAATTTATTTTGTATGGACAATATGGTTATTTTAGGAATCAAATTAATTATTCCCTCCTTTATTTTCAATACCAAACAAGAAAGAAGCATACCAAACAACTTTCAGGAAAGTTGTAATCCATCACCTCCTTTCCACTCTTCTTTCTTTCATATCCTATACATCCTTCTTACCAAACAGATCCTAAAGTAAATGCACACTTGATTGGGAGTTTAATTTCTAATTTTCTCTCATCATCTTTCTTTCTATTCAAAACGGTTTTCCTTTTCGAATATATTTTTTAAAAACCGTTATTTGCGGCGCGCACTAATAGTCTACAAGCAGTTTAGTCGGATTCCTTTGCTCCAGGGAAGGGGGGAAAAGATAGAAGCATGAAAATAAAATTTATAGAGGAACAGAAACAACTACAGAGACCCAAAACAACAACCCAAAAGATCCGAGAAATCGACTAGCTCGGTATACTCACTCTAAGGATTCACAACTAATCAAGTTCTGAAAAGTATTTGGAGAAATGAACCATAAAGCGAACAACAGAAATGAAATAAGACAAGAAAAAAGAGCTAATCTCACATCCATCTCAGTAAGTAGAGAAGCATGTTGTGTTTACTTAGGATATGCCTCATGGATCAACCTAGTTACCACTTAGCAAATACACAAGATCACTCTTCTTCACCTTTGAATACCCTTTCACCCCGCGAGACTTGGCTAGTGCCCTCAGTTCGGGTAGCTTCCATGCACTCAGATCCTCATGTTCAGTCAGTTGCTGTTCATCCTCACTCTCGTCGTCGTCGTCGTCAATATGAGCTTCTTCCGTGCTGGATAACTCGCCCTCTAACAACTGAACAAGCTCTGGCTCGGGTTCGACTTCAAGCTCAGACTCCAACTCTTCATGGTCCTCTGTCTCTGGCTCAAACTCCAGCTCCGGCTCAAACTCCAGCTCCAAGTCAGATTTAGGAACTGCCTCAACCTGATTCTGCTTTCGCTTCCCACTTGAAATTACATCTGGCACTGAATTGACAGTGTCCTCCTCAGTATAAACGGGCTGGAATTTCAACCGAGGGACAGGAGATTTACGTTGAAAGTTCGATACAGGCCTAGTAAAAGAGGAAACAGAATCTGGGGCATCGTCCTTCACACTGCTATTTGAATCAAACGGACGCCCACTTTTTCGTCTGTTGTACTGACCATTATGTACTTGCTGATCAAACACAAACTCCTTGCTATTGCCACTGCCACTACTTCTCTTTGCTTGCTCAGTCGAGTGCTTTCGCAATAGCTTGAGGAGCGAATCCACAGTTTCGTTGTCTTTCCCTTGCCCTTGCATGGATTCGGTTTTCTTTTCCTCTTTCGCAGCAGCTCTCTCCCGAAGCTGAGCCTGGACCTTTCTAAATAGCTCGACAATCTCCTTCTCTCTTGGTCCAGGAGCTGCAGTAGCCTGGAATTTGGGAGAATTCGAGAGGGACAAATATGGCCCGTTCTTAGAGGACAAGATATCAGAATCCTCAAGGTTTTCAAAGCTGTCCCTCTCTTCATTTTGCCTATTCCTGCCTCGAGAGAACCCGTGCCTGTTTTGCCTTGAAAAGTCTGGATTTCTCCTATAACCATTATTAGAACTTGCTTTGCACACATAAGATGATCCCGCAGAAGCACACCTCAGAGGTCCAATATTGGCCTGTGAACGGAATCTATACTGAAAACGAGAAGAGCAAGCATTCAAGGTTGCTGCTCTTCCTGAAACTCCTGGACAAAGTAGACATTTCCCTTCTGGCAATCCAGAACCTGCAACAAACAAAGACGCCAAATGTTAAAGTCCTACGCACTAAATATCGCATAGTAGCAATCAAAACATCAACTCATTTTCCAAAATATCCTCGGTCAGGGTACAATTATTAAAATTAGAGTTAAATATCATTTTTCTAGTCCTGCAATATATAAGTAAAATCTCACTTTGGTTCATGACTTTCGAACTGTTTCAGAACGAGTGTTTAATCTGTCAAATTGTCCCAAATTAAACTTTATGTCCAGCCGACTTTTAGGAATCTTGATGATAAAAGGCACTTGAGGACCATGTGTGGTTCAGCGAGAGTTAATTTTGTAATTTACCCTAACAGATAATGACGATTAAGAAAGAAGTTCTTTTTTTTTTTTTTTTCTCTTGAGATTTTAACCGTCGGTTAAAGGAAAAATACTTTAGAACAATTTGACAGATAGAGGACTTATCCTGGCCTCTGGGACGTTTTTAAAGTAGGGGACCAAGATGAAATTGACCAAGTTTAGAAAATGAGTTTAACCTTAAAATTACATATGAAACTGCTACTAACATTTCAACAAACACATGGTAGGCAATACCCGACGTCTACAACACCGTAAAAATTGCATAATATCGGAAGTAGACAATACAAGAGCGATATTCTAAATCAAAACAACAAATTAGATACTAACTTCGGTGGTTCATTTTCCATTAATAACCGATAAAGTTCAAAACTTTGGACATTTCTACATATAACAACAATCATTCACGCATAAATACCAACCCACTCCAGAAAAACTACTTATCGGTGAGTCAAAATTAAATGATAAATCAGAAAAAAAAAAAAAAAAAACTAAACGGGAAGATAAAAAAAGTTAAAATATCTCCGAGACAAAACCCTCGTGGCCGTGGATTGGTAGCTCAGAAACTACAGAAATGAAAATTTCCAAAGGGAAACTAGAAAGCTTCAAATTGAACTCAAAAGTGAGAAAACAAAGTGACCGAAGTTATCATTATCACTCCAATTAAACACAGTTTCTCGAGAACCAAACAGAGAATTAGCTGAAAAAGGAAAGTAAGTTACCAGGGAGGGTCTTGCCGACGAGGTGCACGGCTTGCGACATTGCTCCGAAGAGGAATAATGGAGAAAGGGCTTAGAGGAGGTTTTGCATTGTGTGGCGTGCTTCTTAAAAGAGTAAAATCGAAGGCAAAAATATTACAAGACTTGGCGGCCACTGATAAGGGACTCGTTAGGTAAATTTAAGTTTCTATAAGGGTACAATTGGGTGTCTGGTTTTGGGGCGGCAATTCGTAGGTCAGTCGTGGATTATATATTTAAGGGAATTTAATGTAAGATTAATTCGCTGATTTGAATTTTTAATTTAAATTGAGATGTAATTTTAGTTTTATTTATTTTATTGATTTGAGTTTAGAATTTAAGTTTTGTTCTAATAAAAAATTCTCAGAAACAGTTATATATAATTTTTTTGCTGCAGTAAAAAGCTCTCACATATAGTCACATTTTAACTCGAATTAAAAACTCAAATCAGCAAACTAAACGAGCCTTTTATGTGAGAGATTTTACTGTAATAAAAAAGTCAGATGTGACTGTTTTTTAGAACGTTTTATTGTAGTAAAATTAAAATTTTAAATTTAAATCAGTAAAATGAACCGGATCTTAGTTATTTATTTATTTATTATTATTCATATTCTTCTTCTTTTTTTTTTTTTTGCTAGTATTTAAAAAAAAAACTGTGTCCTCCCAAGAATGTATGATTGCAGCTTCAAAATGGACAATTTGAAACCAATCCTTAAGTAATAAAAGAGGAAGCACTGATGGATTGTTTTTTTGCATCTGTGTCACCATTACTGGTAGTCTTTTTTCTTTTAAATGGTATAAGTTTCTTCTTTTAATGTTGAGTCTCGCAGTAACAATATGTCAATAACGTTATGTTCCTAAAATTTACAAGCAACCAAAAAAATCATCCCTAAATTGAACTATTACTTTACGTCTTTACTAACTTCTAAACTCTAAGGACTTATTATTTTGTGTGACTTGAGTTATGATTTAAATTATGTATGTGAGAGAAAAATATTGTAATAAAAAAATTAAATTTAAATTGTTATGAGAGAAAACACCGTAACAATATGACTTGAGTAATTAAATGAACATATAGTAATTGTAATAAAATTTGTCTTTCCATTAGTTTTGTGGATACAAGTCTTGAGTTTTTAGTATAATTGTCTCTTGAACTTATTGTGGTTTAATAAATTGTTCATTTTAAAATTTTAATTTTGATAATCAACTCGCTAAACTTGTAAAATTATTGTAGCGTGCCCAATTTTACTAAATTTATTTAAAATTTTATTAGCTTTAAGGGATTAAAAGTTCTTGAATTGAAAATTATATTTTATATTTGATTTGGAATAATTTTTTGTGGTCAGTGCTTTCTTGACACTAATTTAACACAATCATCATTAAAATATTGTATAATGCAACAATTTTATACATTAAGAGGGCAACTTTTCAAAATTAAAAGTTCAATGAACAAATTTTTCGTTTTTAATTTTTTAATCGTTCTTCTATCCAAGCAACCAAAGATGGTCTTCCATAGATCTTGAATTTTGGCTTATTTTTGGTTGAATCTCTCTAGTGCAAATCTAAAGTGAATTTAAATCAACCAGAGATGTGATGAAAGCGTAAATTGGATTTTCAGTTTGCTTTAGTTATTATTTTTATTTTTCAACAAAATAAGTTTATAATCACATATAGCAAAGACCACTTTAAGCCCTTTTAAGTCCTCCTTAAAATTAAATATTGACCACCCCTATCAGTATGAAAAATCAAGTCACCTTACCATAAACTAAGGGTGTAAGAATTGAACCCGAACCCGACTAATCCGTCCGATCCGACCCAAAAATACAGGGTTATATGTATATATATTTTTAAAAATCGGATTCAAATAGGCCCAACCCACACTATGGGGGTTGGGCCGCGGGGCGGGCAGCATTTAACCCGAGTTGCCTGACCCGACCATTTCTGAGTGAATACCCCGTAATTTTGTAACGTGTAACCCTAATTTCCCAAATCCTTCATCGCCTCCAGTTCACTCCAAGCCTCCCAAATCCTTCCCAAATCCTTCCTCGCCAGTCGCCTCCCTCGATCTTGCCTCCGCCTCCATCTCGCCTCCGCCTCCATCTCGCCTGCACCGCCTCCATCTCGCCTCCCCCGCCTCCATCTCGCCTCACCCTCAGTCTCGCACTCTCGATCTCGCCTCCCTCACCCTCAGTCTCGCACTCTCGATCTCGCCTCCCTCACCCTCAGTCTCGCACTCTCTCAATCTCGCCTCCCTCTGTCCCACAGTCTCGATCTCGCCTCCCTCTGTCCCTCAGCCTCGCCCTCAGTCTCGCACTCTCGCCTGTCGCCTTCTCACCCTCAGTCTCGCACTCTCTCGTTCCTTAATCTGCGTTCCTCTTCTTCTTCTCCGTGCATCTTATTTGAACAGATTATCTGAAATATTCATTGAAGACAATCAGTAAGAGACTCTAAACTCTCCGTGCCTCTTGATTGTGCTAATTGCTGAACTTTATTTTCTTAATTTTAATTGCCTAATTCGAGGTTTGTCTAAACTTAATTCTAAACTTGCTCATTGAACAGATTAGTCATTGAGCAAATTGCCTGATTCGAGGTTTGTCTAAACTTGATTCTAAACTTGCTCATTGAACAGATTGGTTATAATTATCACATGTTATAGACAAATGCAACTTTGAGCTTTGAGGACATGGACATTGTTTATACTCTTTTGATTTATGCCACCTGTCAGTTCCAAGCATCTAGAAATTGGTTTTACTATTAACAATTACAGTAGTGTTGAACTAGATAGTCCTGATACAACTGTAAAATGTTGTTTGAATCAAAATTTGTTCAAGTAATATTTCTATTTGTAGGAGATTGAGGGAAAAAAAAATGGAAGGAAGTGGTGGGGATTTCCTGTTTGTGTTTGTAGGTTTATATGTGTGTGTGTATGGATATATATGTAAACCTTTGTTTGTGTTTTCTTTTACTGTTTTCACGAAAAGTTTCAAATTGGTTTTTCTAGGCCCTGTTCAGTTTGAATCAAAATTTGTTCAAGTAATATTTCTGTTTTGGTGTTCCAATATGTATTTCATTTGCTTAATCTGGACCTACTTCAATTTATATTAATCTGCATGCATTTTTGCTCATGCTGGTAACGAAGCTTAGTTTGACAAATGTCAAAGATGAATTTTTGAAATATACATGCTGCAGTACTTGATAAACTACATGAATTGTTTTCAGGAATTGCGAAGACTGAAATCTTCATTGAAGGCAAGGCTGAAACATAAAGGTTAGTTTTTTTTATTTTCTGTTTTTTGTTTTCTGGGAAATATTATGTTTTTCATGATAATTGAGATGAACTGATTTTAGGTTAATCTCTACGCTTAGTCTCAATCATATGTTATATGTTTTTAGGTTAATTTGTGTGCTAGATGGAAAAATTTATCATCCACCTGACACAAACTTCTGAAAGCACTTGCAAGTTCTCTGCTGAAACAGAAAGTGACCAATGCCAGACCAAAAATCCAACCTTTGTCTCTGTACCTAAAGAGCCCATTACCTTGCCCACTCCCACACCCAACCCTACCTATGTGCCTAAAGAGGAGGGAGTCGGTAAAAAGAGGAAGAAGTCACAAAAAAAGTCTCCTGTTTGGGATCATTTCAAAATCATAGAGGGTGAGGATCCAAATGAGCCTAGGTGTAAGTGTATCTATTGTGGGGCAACATATGCGTGTGATAGTAGGAGACATGGTACTAGTAGCATGAAGGTTCACATAGAAAAGCAATGCAAGAAATACCCATATAGGATCCAAGATAAAAAGCAACAAATTCTGAGTTTCTAAACAAGCACTGAAATTGACAGTAATCTTGTTGCTATAGGCTTTAACAAGGAGCATTGTAGAAAAGCGTTAGCATAAATGGTGATTGTAGATGAGCTTTCATTTAGGTTTGTTGAAGGTGAAGGATTTAAGAATTTTTGTCAAGTGACGCAGCCTAGGTTCTCTATCCCCTCATGTGTTACGATTGCCAATGACATTTACCAACTTTTTTTGGAAGAGAGGAAGAAACTGAGGGCTGAATTTAGTAAGGGTAGTCAAAGGATTTGCCTAATAACTGATTGTTGGACATCCTTGCAAAATATTAATTTTTTGTGTCTAACTGCACACTACATTGATAGTGAGTGGACTTTACAAAAAAGGATTATAAACTTTTGTCAAATTTCAAGCGACAAGGGAGAGAGTGTTAGTAAAGTCATTGAGTTATGTTTGCATGCTTGGGGTATTGAGAGAGTCTTCACTATGACTGTTGATAATGCCTCCTCAAATGACTTCATGATTACCTATTTGAGAATGAAGATTAAGGGGTGGAAAGGGGTTGTTTTAGGTGGGAAATTTCTCCATGTTAGGTGTTGTGCCCATATAGTCAACTTGATTGTCAATGAAGATTTAAAAGACATACATAATTCCATAGTTGCCATTCGTAACGTTGTGAGGTATGTGAGGTCTTCTCCGGCTAGGTTGCTGAAATTCAAGTCATGTGTGGAGCGAGAGAAAATTAAATACAAAGGTATCGTATGCCTAGATGTCCCAACTAGATGGAACTCCACCTATATGATGTTAGATGCAGCCATTAAGTTTCAAAAAGCTTTTGAAAGATATGAAGAGGAAGATGACAAGTTCGTGTCTTATTTTCGGGAAGATGAGGGGGGGGGGACAGAAGATTGACCCGCCACTTGATGATGATTGGGAGAATGTTAAGGTGTTTGTGAAATTTCTGAAGACTTTTTATGATATAAGTTTGAAGTTTAGTGCCACTTTGAATGTCACTTCAAATTCTTACTTTCATGAGCTTTGTGAGATGCAAAACCAGCTATCTGAATTAAGCAAACAAGAGGATTCAATGCTTTCATCCATGGCTGTGAGTATGAAAAAAAAGTATAACAAATATTGGGGGAATGTTGAGAATATAAATTGTCTTCTCTTTGTGGCTATTGTACTTGATCCTAGGTACAAAATGGATTATTTGATATATTATTTCTCTATAGTATATGATTCTTGTACTTCTGAAACATTATCAAAGAATGTGAAGGATACTATGTACCGGCTGCATGAGATTTATTGTGGGGAGAATGG